GACCTGAATATTTTCCTTTGCGTAAACGTTTATTATGTGAATTGGGATCTTCTGGATTAATAGCAAGATATTCTGACTTTCGTTTTAATATGTCACAAACAGTATTTTCACGAATTTTAAAACGAATAGCAAGGTCTCTATTCGTTGGAGTAGGTTTTGATTGTTTTAGAACACATATTTCTCTTTTATCTTTCAACGTCAGTGTATTTTTCATCTTTAATTTTAGGGAACAATACGTACTACCACTACTGTAAATCATTTATAAAATTGTACAAAATAAAGCGAAGTTTCCTTCGATAAACCGATGTTATTCGTCTTATCAAGTTATAGTTTACTATATATGGAACCATATGAAAACATCGTCTTAAACATTAAAGTGAAACAATAGGAATCTTCGTCTTATCGAGTTGATTTTATTATAAATGAATTGGTAAACTAGAAAAACTTCGTTATAACAAAAATTCGTTTTATCGAGTTACGTCTTATCGAGTTCCGACTGTATACACACAATGTATCCTACATGTAAAATTTTTAATATGCACCTACTCACAAAAAGGAGTTTTTTTTTTAATAAATTTAGCCTTTAAAATCTTTGTTGGTCATAATGTATTTAAAATGCTCCAATATTAATCATAATGAAATTGAGCCTTCAAATGATTCTGAAAGTGAAAGCGAATTTATGCTGACCACCATGTTTTTAGAGAACATTCCTGAAGATAGTGATGTTACTGAGAAGGAGAATTCTAGTATGCATTTCACAACTTGGAAAGTTAGTATTATGTTAAACAAATGCGCACAAGAAGAATTTAAGAAAAATTTGAAATGACATACGAAAACAAACTCTTGTTTGAAGATGATAATAAAAAGAAGAGGAATTAACCCATCTAAATTATAAAGAACAAACTGTAATTGGTATTTAAATCTTTCGCATCCTATCTTATGCATATATATATTACTGCATTTTATACTTGATCCTTCTGCAAGAAGATTTGAGTCAAAAAAGCATTACCAAACCTATGTTAAATGGATGTGTGTAGATGGGCATTTAAAACCTCTTGTAATAAAACGATGCATATTAAAATTGTGAAAAAAATAAATAAATAAATAAATATGTTGTGCGTGAAAATCAAATTTGTGTCAATTTGAAATTTACCAATTAAATTTTGGGGGGAGTGTTTGAATAAAAAATTCTGATTGGCTAATTTGAATTTCACGCGCGTGAATTTCAATTTGACGCAGACTCCAAATTCACGCACAACAAATATACCGTGTACAAAAATTTATTAATTTATTTTGTGAAAAAAAAGTTTTTGATTTCTTCACCATTCAATAATAAATTAAAATTTATTTATAATAAGACATTAAATAAAGTTAAAATGTCATTTAATAAATTATTATCACCAGAAAGAAGGAACTTTGTAGCTAAAATTAATGCTGAAATGTATAATATTGCTATATTGAATTCTAAAAAAGAAAATAGAAAAGATTATTTTTTTTCATCAGTCAAAGAAAATAAGGAGCTTCTTAAAAATGAAAAACAATTTTGTAAGGAAAAGTTTATTTATGATTTTGAAAAGAATAATGCAATTTATAAATTGGGCAAACCAAAAGAATGTATCAAGTGTAAATCAACAAGATACTCTGATAGATTCTGTGAAGGTTGTATTAGCTTACAATTACAGAGTCTTTTCACCACTTGGACATCTGGAAATAGCATAGTTAATGACTTTATTCAACAATGTCAAATGAAATCATCTCTGCCAAACCATATTTTAGAATGGATACCTTTTGAGCAATTCGAAGAAGTAACAAAATTAACAGAAGGTGGATTTAGTTCAGTTTACACTGCCGCATGGACAAGGGGATATATAGTTGATTATGATGAAAATAAAAAGAAATTTAGTTATTATGGAAGACAACTAGTAGTATTAAAATGCTTAAATAATTCAAGTAATCCAGGAAAAACATTCTTTGATGAGGTTGATAATTTTTATTTAAATCAAAAATAAACAATACTATGTTATACAATGCTAATTGATTTTATATTTAATTACAGGCAATGAATTATTATAAAATTAAATCACCACTGATTGTTCCTTGCAATGGTATAACTAAATTCCCAGATAATGGAAATTATGCAATGGTTCTTAATTATCTTCAAGAAGGAAATTTAAGGGATTATTTACAAAAAAATCATTTAACACTAAAAGATAGAATTACAATCTTTGATTATTTATGTGATTCATTATATTGGATACATGAAAAAGATTTAATTCATTGTGATTTACATAGTGGTAACATATTATTGCAAGGAGGTAATTGTTATATTACAGATTTAGGACTGTGTGGACCAGTTGATGAAAAATTATCAAATAAAATTTATGGAATTATATCATATGTTGCACCTGAGCTACTTAGAGGCAAAATTAATGCAAAGAACACAAAAGAAACAGATGTTTATAGTGTTGGGATGCTTATGTGGGAAATATTTGCAGGCTATCCACCATTTGATGATAGAGGTCATAATCATCGTTTAATTTTTGATGTGTGTGAAGGTTTACGTCCATCAATATTACCTGGAATGCCTGATGATTATTCACAGATGATGCAGAAGTGTTGGGATGTGGATCCATCAAAAAGACCAACTATTGAAGAACTTCGGAAATTTGCTGACAATAAACTAAAAGAAATTCTTGATAATAATGATAATAGTAATATCAGTAGTATTAGTAACTTACAACAAGCACACAAATCACATCCAGATGCATATCATACAAGTAGAATCTTAGATGATGAAATTACTAAATCAAAAAGCTTGAAAAGTTATACAAGTAATGATAGTTCATTAAATAGTCTTGATATCAACTCACTTCTCTTAAATGTTGATTTTAACAAAGGTGAATAAATACAAAATTTCATTAATTAATTAATTAAATTATTAATTATTGTTTATTATTAACAAACTTTTCCATTCTTATTTAATTAATTAATAAATATTAGATTCTAGTAATAATAATTAATAATAATAAGAGAAAAGATGTTGAAATATCAATTAATGATTAATTTATTCAATATATAAATCATGCGTGTAAGATTTTTAATATGCACCCTAGGTCATAAAATAAATAACTTTTTTTTAATAAATTTTAGCCACTTAAAAACTTTGTTGGTCATAATGTATTTAAAATGCTCTAATATTAATCATGAATGAAGCTGAGCCTTCAAATGATTCTGAATGCAAAAACAAATTTATACCGACCACCATGTTTTTAGAGAACATTCCTGAAGATAATGATGTTACTGAGAGGAAAATTCTAGTATGCATTTCACAACTTGGAAAGTTAGTATTATGTTAAACAAATGCGCACAAGAAGACATACGAAAACAAACTCTTGTTTGAAGATGATAATAAAAGAACAAACAGTAATTGGTATTTAAATCTTTCGCATCCTATCTTTTATATATAAATATTACTGCATTTTATACTTGATCCTTCTGCAAGAAGATTTGAGTCAAAAAAAGCATTACCAAACCTATGCTAAATGGATGTGTGTAGATGGGCATTTAAAACATGTAATAAAATGGTGAACATTAAAATTGCTTATAAAAAATAAACATACATGCGTACAAAATTTATTAATCTATTTTGTTAAATTTTATGTACAGAAAAAAAAGTTTTTGATTTCTTCACCATTCAATAATAAATTAAAATTTACCTTTTCCAAAATATATTTATTAAATAAAGTTAAAATGTCATTTAATAAATTATTATCACCAGAAAGAACAAACTTTGTAGTTAAAATTCGTAGTGAAATGTATAATAATGCTCTATTGAATTCTAGTAGAGAAAATAGAAAAGATTATTTTTTTTCATCAGTCAAAGAAAATAAGGATCTTCTTGAAAATGAAAAACAATTTTGTAAAGAAAAATTTATTTATGATTTTGAATTAAATATTGCAAGAAATAAAAGGGGCAAACCAAAAGAATGCAACAAGTGTAAATCAACAAGATACTCTGATAGATTCTGTGAAGGTTGCATTAGCTTACAACTACAGAGTCTTTTCACTACCTGGACATCTGGAAATAGCATAGTTGATGACTTTATTCAACAATGTCAAATGAAATCATCTCTGCCAGCTTATATTTTAGAATGGATACCTTTTGAGCAATTTGAAAAAGTAACAAAATTAACTGAAGGTGGGTTTAGTTCAGTTTATATTGCAGAATGGACAAGGGGATATATAGTTGATTATGATGAAAATAAAAACGAATTTAGTTATTATGGAAGGCAACCAGTAGTATTAAAATGTTTAAATAATTCAAGTAATCCAGGAAAACCATTTTTTGATGAGGTTTGTAATTTTTATTTAAATCAAAAATAAACAATACTGTATTATACAATGCTAATTGATTTTATATTTAATTACAGGCAATGAATTATTGTAAAATTAAATCACCATTGATTGTTCCTTGCAATGGTATAACTAAATTCCCAGATAATGGAAATTATGCAATGGTTCTTAATTATCTTCAAGAAGGAAATTTAAGGGATTATTTAAAAAAAAATCATTATAGTTTAACACTAAAAGATAGAATTACAATCTTTGATTATTTATGTGATTCATTGTATCATATACATAAAAAAGATTTAATTCATTGTGATTTACATAGTGGTAATATATTAATAGAAGGAGGTAATTGTTATATTACAGATTTAGGACTGTGTGGACCAGTTGATGAAAAATCATCAAATAAAATTTATGGAATTATATCATATGTTGCACCTGAGCTACTCAGAGGCAAAATCAATGCAAAGAGCACAAAAGAAACAGATGTTTATAGTGTTGGGATGCTTATGTGGGAAATATTTGCAGGCCATCCACCATTTGATGATAGAGGTCATAATCATTGTTTAATCTTTGATATATGTGAAGGTTTACGACCACCAATATTACCTGAAATGCCTGATGATTATTCACAGATGATACAGAAGTGTTGGGATGTGGATCCATCAAAAAGACCAACTATTGAAGAACTTCGGAAATTTGCTGACAATAAACTAAAAGAAATTCTTGATAATAATGATAATAGTAATATCAGTAGTATTAGTAACTTGCAACAAGCATACAAATCACATCCAGATGCATGTCATACAAGTAGAATATTAGATGATGAGATTGCTAAGTCAAAAAGCTTAAAAAGTTATACAAGTAACAACAGTTCATTAAATAATCTTGATATCAACTCACTTCTCTTAAATGTTGATTTTAACAAAGGTGAATAAAACAAAATTTCATTAATTAATTAATTAAATTATTAATTGTTAATTTATTATTAACAATCTTTCTCATTCTTATTTAATTAATTAATAAATATTAGATTCTAGTAATAATAATTAATAATAATAAGGGAAAAGGTGTTGAAATATCAATTAATGATTAATTTATTCATTATATCATGCATGTAAGATTTTTAATATGCACCCTGGGTCATAAAATAAATAACTTTTTTTTAATAAATTTTAGCCACTTAAAAACTTTGTTGGTCATAATGTATTTACAGCATCTAATATTAATCATAATGAAATTGAGTCTTCAAATGATTCTGAAAGTGAAAGCAAATTTATACTGACCACCATGTTTTTAGAGAACATTCTTGAAGATAGTGATGTTACTGAGAAGGAGAATTCTAGTATGCATTTCACAACTTGGAAAGTTAGTATTATGTTAAACAAATGCGCACAAGAAGAATTTAAGAAAAATTTGAAATGACATATGAAAACAAACTCTTGTTTGAAGATGATAATAAAAAAAGAAGAGGAACAAACCCATCTAAATCACGAAGAACAAACAGTAATTGGTATTTAAATCTTTCGCATCCTATCTTTTATATATAAATATTACTGCATTTTATACTTGATCCTTCTGCAAGAAGATTTGAGTCAAAAAAAGCATTACCAAACCTATTCTAAATGGATGTGTGTAGATGGGCATTTAAAACCTCTTGTAATAGAACGGTGCATATTAAAAATATACCATGCGTACAAAATTTATTTATTTTGTGATTTTTAAGTTTTATATGCAATTGAATTGAATTTCAGAGGGAAAAGGTTTATTGAAATTAGATTGTTGTCAAAGGGACTGTTAAAGCCTCTCACTTTTCTGAAGCCCCTCTCATTTGCTCCACGTTTTTCACCTCTACATTATACAGTAATGAATAAATCATCTGCATATTCGTAGAAGATCTTATTAAATCCGATGTCAGATTTAATATTCATTTTTATTTTTGGAAAAGAAAAAATTGGTTCTTAAGCCTAATCTCAGTATTTTCAAATTCATAAAATAAAATAAAATAATATAATAACAACATCAATTGCCTTCATTGTTTATTAAGGAGCAAGCAAGTCAAAAAGGCCAGGAACCGTGATTGGGATGAATGTTTAAACTATTTCTTCTTTAGTAAGATGGGGAAAGGGCATTGCCTTTGGTGACTGCTTTCGGAGTAAAAGCATCATTGTTAACCCTGACAGTGCCAATTGATGAGATCGTTCCTAAATTGATTCCAGTGATCTTAATGAAAGAAAAAGCATGAAACTCACCGAAGGACGATAGACAGAAAAAAGACTCCGCATTATAACGAACAGCGAGGTCTTTACTCTTTTCTCGCAAACCATTTTTAAAGAGTTCTTATTAATTTTAAAGGAGATTTGGTTAACCAAACTATTTTTGTGTTTGCCAAATATTTCGGCAATCTTTTGGAATCATAGCTCAAAAACCAGAAGCTATTGCCAAATTACTTGCTAAAAGGGCTACAGTCACCAAAAGGTTATGTAATCGTCAAACCTGGACAACCTATCCCTAATACTTCCAATGAAGCTATTAACTAACTAGATTAAGAAACTCGAAATCAAATGGGAATTATTACAGTATAGTATTAAGAAATTAAAAGAAAGCTCAATGGTGCAAGTTTTTCTATGCATATCTATTTAGGAAAAACAACTGGTATAGGTGAGGCAGATGCTTCTGAATTAAAGATATGAATACTTCCATGTTATACAGATTCAGTGGGTTTTATAGAACATTTGGCAGGCCAATTAGTAGGTTCTATGGATAATGAACATAGATAAGATATCCGGAAATGTATTATGCTAAATAAGGTAAAATGAATAAAAGGAACAAATCATGATGTCAAATAACCAAGAATTTACCTTTTTTGCTAGTGACTTGTTTGTTTCCGGCTTAATCATTTTGTACAGCAATTAGTCAATGACGCTATGTTCACTTTGTCTGGATTGGTTACAGTTGCCCCATTGGCTTGTGTTTAGAGTTGAAATAATAATAGGACGTGAAAAGCCTTGGTAGACATAGATTTAAGATTGAATAGTAACCATCCACTTTTTTTGTAAAAATTCAAATATACCATATTAATTTATCAAAAATGGGTTTTTTTATTTATTAATTGTGTTATTAATTGTTTTTTAAACTATCCTGATCAAGTATTGAAATCATTCTATAACTAAACCACTTACTGTTAATGAACTTTTGATGCGATTTTGATAGAAAAAAAGTACTTTTACATATTTAATTAACGATAATAAATTTCCTAATTCATACTCAATATAAATCAGTTTCTGTAAAATCTACACTAAACCCTTGATCATGTAATAATTTATTTTTAAGTTTCTCCCTTTTTTGTCTTACTTCAATCTCTTCTCTTTGTGCTAATAAAATCTCATCTACCGGAACTTGTCTAAGTGGTAGTTCATCTTCTTTGTCAAGATCCTTTGGTTATTTTTTGTAATTTTTTAGATTTTTAAAATTAAAAAATTGGTAATAATAATTTAAATTGTCATTCATTATCTACTTACAATTTCTCCTAACAATACGACATTTTCTCCTCTAATTATAAAAATTCCTCTTGGGATGTCTCCATAAGCATCTCCTACATAAATCCTTTCTATTGTATCTTGTAATACCAAGTTTGCTAATACATATACATATATATATATATATATACACATTGATAGGAAGAAAAAGAAAGGATCACATTAGATAATTTCTTGGAATGAAAATATATTTATAATTATGTATTTATAAAAATATATAAAACCAAATATTTATTGTCTTATTCTACCAAATTGGTCAAATGATCTAAGTACCCCAATTAACTTACGACCATCACGAAGCACTACCAATAATTTTCCTGGAAAAATGTAAATGATATTATTAATCAATTAAAATTTTACTTTTCCTTTATTGCTTGTTCACACTCACACACTAATTGACTATTATTATTTTTATTATTAACTTACGATCGACACTATCAACCAAACTTGCAGAAGTTGTGAATATCTGTCCAGGAATAAAATTGTCCATTAATTTTATTAAAAATAAATATAAAGTTGAAATTTTAATTTGGGTTGAAAATAAATCAAATCTTTGAATTCTTGTTGTACGACAAAATATCAATCAAATTTATTTGTATGATAAATGAGTTACCCGGCTAAACTATTATAAGAATAACCAGAATGGCCGTATTTGAGATATTTACATTAAATTATAATTTTTTAATAATAATAATAAATTGAAAATAACTTCTATTAATGCGATTTCTAACGTTCTAATTTTTAAAACGAGAGCGCAATGTGAGTTTTTTAGTTTATTCGCATATGCATCGTGTTACGTCAAATTTTGATGTTGGGCACAAAGGATCTCACATTTTCGAGACATTTAAATTGGCCAATCAGATTTTACGTCCAAATAACCTATGATTATTAAAAATTCTTGGTTCCAATCCAATGTTAAAAAGTTTTCCAACTATCAATATGAACATATTTTCTGAATTGTTTTGGGATGCGTTGGTCATCGTCTACCCTGCTACGTACAAACATTCTCTCTAATTACACTCTTGATAAACACAATACAAGATAGAAGATATCTTTTATAACCTTCTCGTCGTTGATTATTTTCGATTTACAAAAACTTCTTTTTTCTTAATTAAAAAACGACAATCGTTATACCATTTAATCATCTAATACTAATGCCAATTAATATAGAAAAAAAAGAATTGTTTAATTAAAAAGGCGCTAAAAAGATCATCTAATTATTTTAAAGGCATTGAAAAAAAAATAGGGAACTAATATCTACCTTCTCGTTGAAATTGAAATTCATATAATAAAAAAAAAAAAACAAAATAGATTTCTTTATTGTTGAAGAAATCAATTACGATTCCTTTTAAAGACATCGCCGTCAAAAAATCATTGTAACTTATGTTAATATTCTATTGATACTAAATGATGCATAAATAGGAGTGCATTTTCTTCAATTAAACAATGGTTTTTTACCTCCAATCGCAAAAGCTAAAGATGGTCATTCCACAAATCCCATACACTTCCATCTCTTGAAAATCCCTAGGTATGATTTGCATTGCCCATCCCTTGATCAAGCAACCTATCCACGTCTTTGTTGTTCTGAATGTAATAAAGATTTTCCAACTCTTTGCTCATTTGACAAATCATAAACGAATAATGCATCCTTTCAATTGTGGGAAATCTAAAGAACAAAAATCAAGAACTTTTGATGAATTCTCTCTTCTCCCATCACAACAAAGGCAACCTCTTTTGATGAAATGTATCTAAAGGAATGTATATCAGATGAAGAATGAACAATTATAGCATTAATGTATATGAGAATGTATATGAGAATTTTATAAATAAATTTCATATATATATAAAAAAAGTCCAAGTCCATAATGATCAAATTATTTACAACATGTGTGACCTAAGATACTCTGCTACCCCTCCACCTCCTAAGATATATGTCAGCACCCGATTCTTTTTAACTTTTTAGTACTTTGATATATAATTAGCCCGCCTGATATCTTTGAATGTGACCTTTGATTTTTGTATGGGTCAAATTTGGAAATTTCCCTGTTGATTTTATTGCTTCTATAAATTTTAATCAATCAATACTTGCGTTAAAGATACTGGACGTCACAAGTCGCAAACCGTGTAACGTGTACCCAAGTTCATTTTGCTGAGGTTGCATATGTACCACGAAAATTAGACTATTTTGCTATAAATATGGAAATAATTTACAAATTCTGACGTAATTATTATTACATAATAATAATAACAATCGGTTGATATTATCTTTTTTATTTATCTATCTTTGAATATATCTCCGGAATTTTTTGAATATTAAGAATATTAAGAACATCTAACGATAAAAGGTATTATTAATTCATTATATAATAAATAAATTATTTGGTGGGAACATATATATCGCCATTATTAAGGACAAAAACTTCCATCACACACACACATATTTATTTTCTCATACAATAATAAATTCTTGACAATCGAACCTTTTGGATTTATTATATACGAATAACCTGGCCATGTTGCTGCACCTCAACGTGGTGGCCGGGGGGCAACAGATATTGATGTTTTTTTATCTTGTCGTCGTAAAAGAGCGTTAGTATCTGGCTAAGCAGCAACGAAGAAAGAAGTACCTGAAGAAGAAGAAAAAGAAGACAACAACAACAACGAAGAAGAAGAAGAAGAAGAAGAAAAAGAAGAAATCAACAAGAATGAAGACGAACGACGAACGACGAACGAAAAAAGACGACATATTGATATAGTTGCAAGTCTGGTGGTTTGGAAGGATCCCAGGCGTTACAGATATTTTAAATATCTGGTTACATGTAATACCCAATAGATTATCGTGTGTCAATGACAACAGGTATTGTGCGCATACCTGGCATGTAAATCTATAGGTTTCTCATGTTTAAACGAAGAGCAATGTTTATCAATTTATGGTGGTTGGCTCTATATCATGCGGTATCACACAGTTGCAAGTCTAGTATGATTCGAAGGATTCGAGTCTAGGCGATCAGATATTAAAAACATCTGGACGGGTATTGTGCACGTACTCGACTAGTAAACCTATACTACGGTATAGGTTGCCTATTTTAAATGAGCAATAGTGTTGATGCATGATAAATTAATGACGCATTTTGGTGATGTACAATGATGACAACAATATAATCTGAATTTACCAATAATGAATGATAAAAACATTATTCAGATTCTGAGTACATCATAACTTTAATGAGCGTATTGGTATAATCGCAAGTCTGGTGACTGGGCCAAAATAAAGGTTATATTATTTATAAATTTCCATCAAAACAACACAATGTTTGTATTGACGCGATTTCTAAGGAACTAATTGTAATCTGTAATTTAGGCTCAACTTGCAATGTTTATTCATTGTCTTTCCTTTGCTCTACGATATCAAACCAGTCTTGATTGCGGTTTCGGAAAAGAATTGTTTCTTCCTCAAAAACTTGGACTAAATGGGATTATCTTCTGAGTTTGAATTCAAGACTGGGATTTACTTTTTTGATTTTTAGAACAAAGCCAAATTTTGCTGTTGGGTCGTGTATTCCGAGTCAGAACAGTATGTCATGGAAAGGGTCCAGAATTACTGGCTACGCTACAATCGTGTACATGATTTAATCGTTGTCAAAAATGATCCGATTTCTGACGTCGAGTTTCTTTGCACATGATGGTAAAGTTATATTTTGTTGTTTATATTATCATTCTAATTAATTATTGACAGTTACGGCATTTTTGTGCCTAGGTGGGTTGGCAAACGGAACCATTCTACCTAGAAATGTGGTAATGCAACACAATTTTCTTTCTAAATCTTTAATGTATATAATTGATTCTTAGTTTGAATTTGGCATCCATGATGAAAATTGGAACCGGACGAATATTCAGTAAAGTATGTGTGATTTGCTTCTTCCCCTTCAAATTCCTCGAAATATTTTTCACGATCATATCAGATTGGATTTCGAAATAGATTTTGACATTTAATAAAGGGAGTTTTTGTATATTGTTCGAAAACTGAAAGAACCACAGCTTTTTTCTTGTAGATATGATTTAGTGAATCAAATCATTCTTCTCAGATGATAATTTTAGTCGTAATGTTAGTTCGTTTTGGTCTCTTGCGAATAAATAATAATAAAAAAGTCACTTTACCTTGCTTATGTTATTTTCAATCATTTGAACTATTTAACAAGTGAACGGCCATGAATATGCAAGTCTTTTATGAATGAAGGCGATTTCTATTTTTCAAATGGATGTACCCAAAAGTTCAATTAGTTAGAATTCGTAGCACGAAGCCCCATAAAATCACTTTCATAAGAAAGAATCAATTTACAAGAAATATTTGATCTTGCAAATGTATCTAATGCGGATGAGACAGGACTTTTTTTTTCGAGTGTCACCAAATCGGACACTTTCAAAACGTAGGATGGAAAGGAAAAAACTGGCACATGTGGCATATTTTTAGTTTCGGACAAGTCTCATATAACAGTTCTTCTTGCTGTAAATTCAACTGGTACTCAAAAATTGAGACTAAAGCTCCTAACGATCCGAGTCGAGCTGAGTTCTAATCGAACTCGAGCCAACTCGAAATTTAATATAAAATCAAGTAAAAATATCTTTAATGAATTGTATGACATACTTGAATTTTAAAACTTTTAAATCATGACAGGCCAAAAATTTAAAAAGTTAACAATATTTGTGTTTCTAATAATTGTCTTGTTTGCTCAGATATTTGTGGAGAATTAAAATATTATTTATATAAAAATTCGTTCGTTTATTCGTTTTATCCGTTTTATTCGAATAAACATTGATAACGAATAAAACAAAAAATTCGAATAGAACCCCTAAGCTGAGCAAGCTCGAGTTCAAGCCGTGTTCAAGAAAATAGGCTCTTAAATTGTTTTTTAGCATAATTCTAAAAAAAATTTATGTAGTCATCGAGCTGAACATTCGACTCGAACTCGACTCGATAACTTGAGCCTGTATATTATTTCTTGACTCGAACTCGGCTGAACTCGAAAATTCGAGTTTCAGTTTGGCTCGTTCGCAGCTTCAATCGTGACCATTAGTAGGTGTTTGATTCAATTAATATTTCAATCTTACCTGTGATTTACAAGTACAGCTCAAAAGCCTGAATGCATTCTGATATTTGGGTACCATGATTAAAGTATATGAATAAGCAAATATTACTTGTGCAAGTTCATATTCTTTAAATGATGGTAAAACTCTTCTTCAGTTATCAAATATTACATTAAAACATCTTCCTCTCAACACACTACATCTCATCTGCAACCAATGGATGCAGGGCTTATCAAGTCATTCAAAGCTAAAAATATAAGCATTTATGTTGCTAGCATATTTTGACATCAAAGAAAAAAATATAGAAAATGACAAGAAATGTATACATACACTATCCAATTACTAAATTTATTATTAAAAATACATTATAAACTCTAATAATATTTATCGTAATATAAAAATTTATGCTGTACAAATAAATTAAAAACTATTCAAAACAAGGAAGGAAAAAACGACTTAAATAATTTACAAATTTGAAACTTTGTATCATGCTAATAGTCCTTTTGGCAACTTATCAGGAACTGGATTTCCTTGAAGTCTTTTGTCAATCAAAAACATTCCTATACAAAACTCCCTTCTATTTAAATTGCCATCTTCGTCAGCATCCAAAAGATCCCTTAAATAACATTCAAAAATATTAATTTAAAATGAATAGGCAATATTAAATATATTTAAACTTAATTCTATTTACCATATTTTATATAAAGTCTTTTTGTCTAACCTGCTCCTTATATATATCTCTTTAACTACAGCAGCTAATAAATAGATAATATTCACACAAAATCAAATATATAGATTTAACATTATCATTAGACCAAAAAAAAAAAATTAATAATTAAATTACCACTAATAAGATCATCATCGTCTTTGTTTGAATCAAAAACTATTTCATATCGTTTTTTTGCATCTGATGGAATACCTTTTGTTGAGTTACTTTCTAATTAATCGTGTGATGCGTTAGAACAAATACATAATGAATTTGTATTCAAAAGCAAAATTTAAATATATACATACCGATAAAGGAATTAGAATGTTGAGGTGGTCTACGCGGAATTTTGATTTCTGAATCAGTGTTTGATCCAAGATTTTTTCTTGAGGGCAATGGTGGTGGCGATTGTGAAGGCTTTGTAGCTGCAGTAAAATTCTTTTCCAAGTTACTAATTAAACCATTTTTATTCTTTACAGTGTTATGAAATGAATCTCGTTGTTGATTAGCAGTATTGTCAATTTGGTTTTTAATTCTAACTTCCGCTTCTTTTTTAACCGAATCTTCGGCAATTTTAAAAAATCGGTCTTTACCAGGAATTTTCTTATTACCATATGGAGATTTGTCAAATTCCCCTATTTATAAATTCAAATATTTAAATATCAGCATTATTGACTTTGAACGAGTAAAGTTATGACTAAAATTAAAGATACCTTTAAGTTGAGAAAAGGAATTAGATATTCCTTGTTGTGCAACCTTTACTGATTGATCTTGTGCTGCTATTTTTGCCTTTTCAAAATTTTCTGTATGATTTTCAACTATTGGTTTTGACTTTAGTTTTTAAAATATTATTTTATTACAAATCAATTAATCAATTTGGTTAATAATAAAAAAAATTTCAAAAAAAAAAGCCTGAAAACATACTAATGAAGTAGTGCTGGAGCTTGCTGATGAAAATGGTCTTGGTGGTCTTGGTGGTGTTGGTGGTGCTGATGAATCATTACTGTTTGAACTGGTGCTAGAGATTGAAGGAGTACTTGATGGCTTCCTCGGAGGTAATGGTGGTCTTGAATAAGATGTTGGAGAATTCTTTACTAAATTATTATTGTTGTCATTATCATCATTGTCGTTAAATAAATTTGGTTTGGATTTATTTTGAATTAATGGTTTAGATGCAATTGGTGGTGGTACTATTGAAAGTTTGGGAGTTGTTGGTAAATAGGGTTGAGATTTTTTGATCATAGAAGGTAATACAACCAAATTATCATCATCATTATCATCATCGTTATCATGATGTTCTGACTCTTGTTGCTTTAGCTGCTTCTTTGGTGGTACAAAAGAATGTTCATTTTTCTCATTTTCCATTAATGATTTGATAGAATTGACTGATGTTGATGATTTTGGCATAGAAGTGGCTGATGATGGCACTGTTTTTTTATCATTATTTGTCTGTTTCATAAAATTTGAAGAAGAATTATCAACAAGATTTGAAGAAAATTTTGATCTAGGGTTGATGGAAGGTTTTATTGGCAAAGTTTCATGATTTTTAGACTCAAAAGCAGCTAGCGTATTCTTTGAAAGTTTTTTAGGTTTTCCTATTGATATTCCAATATCCGATTCTACTTGTCAAATAACCATCAAAACAATTATTATTATAAATTGTCAATTATATAAAAAAGTTATATATTTACATATATATATATATATATATATACATATATATGCACACTACCAGAATCTTTGATTGATCCACTAGAACCCATTTCAAATGAAGATGGTTTATCAATTGTTTCTATATTATTATCAGAACTTCTACCGAATTTGCGAGGTATTTTTGGTGGAACTTTCTGAATTATATTATTAAAAAAATCAAAATTTAATCTTTATATATATATATATATATATACATATTTAAAAAATTAAAATATTCATGAGGTTACCTCCTTTTCTTCAATCAACTCGACATAATTGCTTGGAAACAATCCTTTTATATTGGTGCCTTCTTTTCTTCCCTGTAACCAACCTTCTTCATTTGTTTCGGTAACTATTTAAAAATACGTGTGTGTGTGTGTGTATATATATATATATATATATGTTGTAGGTATATATCAAATTAAGTCATATTTGTTTAGAAAAGGAAAAAAAATCAATATCTAACTAACCATCGACAATTATATCATCTTTTTTGAAAGATAATTCAGAATCATTATCGGCTGAACAATCATAAAGTGTTTTGGCTTTTAATACCATATTTCTTATTTAGTTAAAATTTTGAATTAAAGGTTATTAAAGTTAGAATTTAAAGAAAAATATAAATAATTTAACGCACTAAGAGAGAAACTTGTACAAAAATATACAAACCTGGTAGAGAATTTCATTGGCTTAAATAAATTACTTTTTCCAGAAAACAAGTAGACCCTTTTTTTCACCTGAAATATTAATATAGAACGTGTTCAGTCAGGATAGCACAAAAAATTCCGGAAAAAACAAATTATCGGGAAGAAGGATTCAGGTAAATGGGAGTTTTATAATATTTAATTGTTTATAATTAAAATTTAGTCCCAAAGCCTATATAACATGCCAGTTTCCGCCATGGTGTCAAACTCATCTAATAAGATTTCCTACATCATTTGTAATGAATGTGAAAGTATCTCCTAACGAAGCTACTCTTTACAGAAAATCGATGTTACAATTCAAATTATATATAAAATGAATTTTATTTTATATTTAATATCTTTATTAATACAATCAATACGATTATTATTATAGTATGAGTGTTTTGTACAAGATTCTTCTTTGAACCAAAGAAACGTACATTTAATTGATGTCCAAAAACTTTGAAACAATCGAAAGGCAAAAAACCTAATGTCAGTAATAATAGTAGCAATAATAGTAATAGTAATAGTAATAACAGCAGCAGAATGGTAAAAATAACATCGAATCTTTTGTTTTGATGGAAATTAATAATTTTAACGAAAAAATTAAAGATAAAAAAAATTTTTGAAATAATAAATTTTTTTTTTTTACCATTTTAAATTCTTGTTCCAGAGCAGAAAAATATTTTGAACAAGTGTTCTTTATTATTGTTGATTTTTCTTTTAATTCTCTTTATTTCATATAATGAATGATGCTGGTGGAAACATTATTTGTGGTATAGCTTCATTCTGATGAGACATATTTTCCAATAGGCTTAATAGTAAAATATACAACATCTAACTGCGCTGCCCTGTAAACTTTCTTCAGAGCATATACTGACTGTAGGAAAATCGTCAAATATAAACCGGTCCTTTAAGTTTAAATTTATTACTGCAGTTCTAGTCGCCATAAGTGACACACCAAAGGTCACAAATTTACCACCATTCTTTGAGGTATAACTATCATCCTAAACGGTCCACCAGTAATCTCTCCCTTCCTCCTGGGCGGAGGCGAGTGTTTAAAATCAAATTGACTCTTGTAAATAAAGAAAAAGATGGTTCAATAATACATATTTCCTTTTTCCAAATTCTAAAATGTATACTACTACTGTGTTTTCAACGTCATTTACCAAATTATTAAAAAGCTAATCAAGTTGCTTTGCAATCAGCGAGTCCGGTTGTAAATTAACGATCACTTCAAAATTTGAAGAAAGGAAATCAAGAACGACTTTAAAAAAATTTCCATTAATTATTATATTGTAAAAAGCATGATTTATTAACTGTTATCGCAAAAAAAAATCAAGTAAAGCAAAATTTTATACAAGTATTATTCTCAACAAATAAATATTTAAAAAAGTATTATGAAATTGATGGTTTTCAACCACAAAATCCAAAAAGTGAACAAAAAAATTTTTTCTAAAACAACTAGCATCGTATGTATAACGCGAAAAGAAAAAATCAATTGAAAATAATAAATCGAGGTAAGAAAATGACAAATCAAATTATAATCAGATGATGATGATGATATTAGTATGACCGTAAAACGTTGAATATTGGTTTCGTAACAAGAAAGCAATCACTAGTTCTTTTTATAAGAGATATTTATATTCACCTATTATTCTAAATTCATTTGATTGATTATTTTTTTTTTTTTTTGTTAAATATACAAACAAGGAGTACTGGAGACTGTCAGGGTTTGTTCATGTTTGCAAAAAGTGAGTTGTGACTGGAAAAAAATTAATATCTTCAGGCTGTTATTTTTGAGACGAGCTACACATCAAATCTACAGATAATAAATAAGAAATTATCATTATTCACATACCCCTCTTCTTCACATGATAAAACTTGAGAATCAAACATCTGCTGTCACTAATGTTCATAAATATGTTTCTTACATTTTTTATGTTCTATTTTACTTTGACATAATCTTTGTGATCGTCGCTGGGGTCGTTTGCGATGGGGATCAAAGATTAATAAACAAAAACATATTTGATGATTTGTGCAAGAGAATAACAAATGGTAACGCTAGAGCAGTAGTAGCTTTCGGCGACGATAAATAACACGTAGGGCATGCTCCGGGTCCAATAAAGTAAATTTGCCATGAACTTTCTAAGCATTGGTACAAATTGATGAGTTCTGAACATATTTGGACTGTTCCTTGTGTGGTAGTAGTAGGTGTTTTGATAAGCATCAAAAATTTTGGTCTGCAAATCAGTTTGTATGACATATTAGTCGTGTGACATGTCCTAAAAATCAAGGGGCAAGTTTATTTTCCGAAAAATTTCCGGTGATCTACACAATTTTTTATTAATAAAATTTCGAATTGAATGTCTTCATACCCTCGTTTGATACCCTTGTCGTGTAGCAATTGCCACCAAATTTGATACATAACTTCTTTGTCATGTGTATCTGCTTCAAAATTTTTTTTGAAGCAAGTTGTTAATAAAACCGAAAATAATCTCAGCCTTAAAGTCAAATTTTGACTTTATATTCATATATGTAGAAATCTGTTAGTGCGTACAAAGGTAAATTAAATGTTATAAATATTTACGGAATCATGCTCACTTTGTATGTCTTTATACTATCATTTATTTTAAACAAATAAAGTATGGTTTATACTAATATATTAAATTTTAATTATGACCAAGCATTTTATAGGAAAACTTTATTATGGTGTGAAAAATGATCGATTTTTTATGAGCAATAATAATATTGGTGTAAGGAGTTAGTTAGAGTTGATGGAATTAATCCAGATACAAGAATTACAGGTAGAGAGCATTGTTGATATTAGATTAATATAATTTATTAAAACTTGTAAATATGAGTTTATTTAATAGATTTGATGATAATAACAATTGAAATGTCAAAGACTAACTAATCTCAATTCATGAATCCCTGGAAGAAAGTATTGGATCAATACTATATACAGTCAATCTTGTTCCAGTGAATCTATGAGGACACAAGAAAATTGCATCTAAAATTTATTATACCAAATTACAGTAACGCGATTGCAACAAATTTAATTATAATTCATGGTGACGCAATTGCAACAAATTTAATTATAATTCATGATGACGCGTTGCAACAAATTTAATTATATTTTGTAGTAATAGTAATGCAATTGCAACAATTTAATTATAACTCATTGTATGTTTGCTAGCTTAGATTCTCATTGGTTGTGTATGTAAAATTTTAATTATTAAAAAATAAATATTATTCTATTATCTTCATTTTCACTAATAAATTTAAATAGATATCATATTTTTTTACATGAGAAACAAAAATTAATGAATAAAACAATCATTAATAAATAAATACCTTTTAATTTATAATAATAAAATAATAACTAATTTGATTGTTCCATAACAATTCTTTCTGATCATACTAAAAGTAATTACTGATTAATTACAGGAATAAAACTTTATGATGTTGAATTTTCTATCTATTTTCTAAAAATAAATAATAAATAAATATGGCCGCGTAACAATTCTTTCTGATCGTACACCGCCAGATCTAAAAAGAGTAATTAAATAATTAATAGTATAATTGTTATTACAACCAGAATTTTTGATGTTGAATTTTCTAAAAATAAATAAATAATACTGTAATAATAAATAAAATATGGTCGCGCAATTCTTTCTGATCATACACCATTATAAATATAGTCACATAACAATTCCTTCTGATTTAACCATTAACCTTTGGAAAAAGAAAATTGTGCATTCTCTCCTAGATGAATTGAGATAAATAATATTAATAATGCACTCTCCTATACAAATTGAGACTTTAATATTAATAATTACATTCTCTCCTAGATAAATAAATATATAAACAAATAATTCTTTTATAATATAGTTATACATTTTTTTCCTATAATATCTATTACTTACTTTCATAAATAATATGTTGTAAACTTGGTTCTTTTGATTTCTCTTTTTAAAAATTTTTTGCTGAATCCAATCTGTATAAAATTCTTGACTGTTAAATTTCTATAAAATAGTTTTTCGTAAACATCTCTAAAACTTATTAACCAACACCCCCCATAAAGTAATGACCATATGAAAGCTTAGAGTATTTTACTCCTCTTCAGTCACTATCAGGTCTTTTAAAGCGATATTGAAAAATAATCTGAGGTTTGAAGTGAAAAAGTAACACCATTTTTGAATAGTCGTAGATTTATATAGAGAAGACCTTTCGATATGAAAGAGTATTCATTCGAAAGCTTTAATGTAGTATTTTTATTTTACTCTAACAACGAAGTTCGAGTTTATTATAAAAATAACGAGATATTTTAAAAAAATTTCATGTGACACGAATTAGAAATTTTTTATTTAATATAGAAAATAATTTGAAAGGACATGTCACACGACTGTTAATGATCATCAATAAAATTCCGACCGGGATTAATTAAATTCTTTCCTTAACTGGTGTGGATCATGAATTAACTAGTTGATCAAAAATTTGAAACAAAAATATTACAGCACATTAATTTTAATGGCTTTAAATTTTTTTCTTTATAGTAAAAAAATATTTTTTCCTAGATAAAGATCAATATAATAATAATAAAATTTTTCACAAAAAAATTTATTATATCTATTACTCAAACTCTTTTTCACGTTGATTCATCGTTACGACCAAAAGAAAGCTTCATACACAATTTCTCTCCATATAACTAATACAAGTCTCATCAAAATTGGGTTTTTAGAAGATTATAACCGGTGAAAATTTCAGATCCAGTTGATTTACTACAATAGTGCTTGAAATATTAATATATTTAGCAGATCATTATTCGAAAAAAACCACGTTACCAGCGGTCCGCAATTCTGTTAAAAAATATAATACTTAATTGTAACTAATAAAACGAATGCTCTGTAAACAAGAAAAAATAAAGGAAATTAATTATTTATCCTAATAATTCTCCTGCCTGACTTTTAACATAGATTTTACCGCCAAATCCTTGGGACATTTATTCTAAAAAAATTTACAACTAGAATTTATATATTGTTCTAGTTAAAAAACTTTGTTAATTGGTAGATTAATATAAATACAGTATTGTTTAATTTATTAACAATATTATTGTTGTTATTACCATTATCCATGTTATTGTTTATTTACAAAAGAGCGGAAATTTTTATTTTTTAATTAGGCAGTTCAAATTTAGGTAGATTATACGTAACGTGACACACGAAATTTTAATCTTTTAACTGTAAAAAACTCAGCAATGTACGTTCCCCGGACAAAAGTATCCAGACACCTATTTTTACTAATTATACATCAAAATGTAGCTTAGGTTTTGATGAATATGCATGTAAATTTTGAACATTTAAAAAAATCCGAAATTCGACGAAAGTCGCGATATCATTTTTTTGTTGTGTTGATCATTATCAGCATAACGGAATTTATTATTGGTTAGATTTTTATTGGACAAAATAAAATTTTTTTTAATAATAATAATAAAAATAATAAAATATTAAAAAATTCAATATTAACACGTACAAGAGAATAATTTTTATTATTCACATTACTATTTCGTTCTTATTCTCATGCTACTGCCTTTAATGTGCCACTTACATTTGAGGCAATTAATTATGTTTAAAATTAAATCTTTAAAGAAATCTTTTATTTTGATGAATTGATAGATAGTGATAAATATTTAGCAATGCGTCCATCTACATATTATGTTATATAAATATTATCAGATTTCTTGTTCCTTTTATACACTGTTAAGTTTGCTGATTCTTTTTTTTCATGTTTAAATTCCATACATGTTATTAAAATATATACATGTATTATTATTATATATATTATAAACCTCTTTATTATAAATTTCATTCATAATACTGCCATTGGAAAACCTTCGATCATGTTTGATCAGTGTATGGAGTATGATAAAGAAACTTGAAATTTACGTGCTATAAAAAAAATTTTTTTTGGCATACAAATCTGCAACTTATCATATGACGAATTATTTTTAATTGTAAATAATCGTGTAACAATTTTTGAAAAATGATTGACTAGAAATTCCGTTATCACTATTGTTGGGGTTTCGGGGGTTTTAATTAAAATTTTTCTAGACATTTTAAATAATATCAAAATTTACACATATTCACCAAAATCTAAGTTACATTTTGATAGAATTTTATGTATAGTTACTATGTGCGTTTTTATATAATTAATAAAAACAAGTGTCCGGATACTTTTGTCCAGTGAGTGTATTTATAACAAATTTATATATTAATATATATATATATATATCAAAATTTTGGGAACCCGATAAATGTAAAATTTTGCATTTTATTTATTTTTTATACATACCAAATTTAATGCAAGAGTCATCTAATTGCTGTAATACCTTTGTTTTCTAATTTGATAAAATCTAAGGTTTGGGATCTGGTTTATTTTGCCAAACCGGTTCGAATTTGGACTCTAACAGACAACCGGATTGCAACAGGATTGGAAACAGATTCAACCCTCTTTTTTTCTAGAACCAGAATTTATTGTTTCTTAATTATTTCGCTAATAATTAACCAATAATTGCTAGCTAAAGATTATCAAGAGTCTAAACTTTTGGCGGCCTTATATATGATTTTCTTTGGTATATGTGTTTTCCGCATATAGACAGTCAATTAAAATTTGTGGACAATAACTCGTGGAATAATAAGTGGCTTTGGTAAACGGGTTAATGCTTTTTTTTCATAATCTATAACTTATCAGTCCTCGTACATGCCCGAGTTATCAAAAAAAATTTTTTTTGTGAATTAGCGCCAACAAACTAATGAAGTGTTAGTTTGAAGCAATCTCTAATTGATTTAACTGATAATGACAAAATAAATAACAATAAAGAAGAAAGTATTTGTTTTATTTATAATAATAACTATGCAATTTTCTTGCTTAACTGTATGTAACACGTTGACACAGGCTAACCTCCCTCCCTTGTTTGTCGAATAAGTAAGTCTAAAGATCTTTGAAAAAAAAAAAGTTATATAAAAAGATGTGTTTGAGACTAATCGACTACCATTACTTGCAAACAAAAAAAATAAATTCGAATTATTACAAAAATACATGATTTTATAATATACCATGTAATGGGGGGTGTTCAAAGTTGTTCCTGTTCTTTTTATCGATTGCTTAGAAACAGGAAGTGGAAACGATTTTCAAAAACAATTCTAAAAAACAACAAAGTGTTCATCCAGTTCAAAAGGTAGCCTTTAATAATAATGACAATGGCAAGTATTTAATTCAGCTTCTTTTACTAATAATGACAAACAACAACGACAAAGTATTTACCCAGTTCAAATGTCAGTTTCTTTTACTAATAATGACAAACAATAACAAAAAAGTATTTATCCAGTTCAAAGGGAATTTGTTTTCACCAAAACTTTGATCTAAATCAGTCACTTCTTGGAATAAATGCCTCCAATTCTTTAAAAATGCGTCATGTAGATCATATCAAAGATAGTATATATAATAATAATAGATTGGAATTTTTCCGCCCGAAGTTGAAATTACCCTAATAAGTATTGTAGAACAAGGAAACAGAAACGGAACACCTCTCTTTGATCATTGAATCGTAAACTACACCATTTCAGACATCGTACCTTCAAATTCTGATGTTTGTCCTTTGCGATCTGTTAAGGATCACAACTTTCAACATACTCACTCATGGGAACAAATATACATTGTCCTTCGATTTTGCTATTAAAAGTGGATGAAAGTATCCTTGCTGAATACAAGAGATTGAGCTACCCGAGTTAAAAGGGTTTAAGAGAAATCAACTAAACGTCGATTAAAACAAGCTTCCGGATAATTCCAATAGAAGTGGTAGGAAAATCCAATAGTAATTCTTAAAAACTTTTTAGGATTTTCTTTACCCATTTAAAGTACATCAACTAAAAATTCTCTACCCCGTTTTTTTATATGGCAAAAGAAAGATTTATAATTTTTACCCACCTAGGCCTGTGACATCATATAATATGATAGATTTAAATTTAAGAACTTTTATTTATATATTTCTATATATCAAAATCAAAATTTTAATTGATTTAATAAATTTTTATCCAATGAATCAAAATAAATCTTGTTTTTTTGATAATCTTATTTCAGAATCCAACAATAAACCACTGTTCCTCAGGTAGAATAAAATATTATGTGAATTTATATGTGAAAATATATTGAATCTTTGTGAATTTAACGAAGTAAACAAAAATACCGTAAAGGAAAAAACACTCAAGTTCATAACGAATAAACTTTATTCGAATAGAAACCATATTAATAGTGAACCATTAAATAATAACAATGACTGTAAGTTAGGAGAAATAATGGTAATATGATAATAATAGTAGTAATAATAATACCGGAAAGCTTAGTACCATCTGGGAATTTTTTCATCAACTGGGTTTATTACAAAGAAAAGTAATAGTAGTATGTTATTTGTCTAGTGAATTATCTGATAAAAAAATTATTCAAACTCAGCCGGTTAAGATATTTTTTATTGACTGACATCACTAATTTTTGGTAGAAATGTTTGTTCCAAAAATGCAATAATCAAATTGGATGATTTTTACTTTATGTACTTCCAATTTTGATTGATGAGAAATATATCCCAATTACAAAAACGTGCATCTAATATTTGATATTATTTGTTGGGTAGACGTGATATTTTTCGCAAAAATTTAGTTTGTCTTTAAACAAATTTATCGATAGTGATCAATTAAGTATGATATTACAAACAGTTTTAATTACAATTTTTTTAATTATTTTTTTAAATAACAATATATATACAAATTGATTAATGATTTTTTAAATAAATAAATTTTTTTCTAAATAAAATATTTTTCTAAATAAAATTTTTTTTACTTTTTAAATAAATTTTTTTCTAAATAAAATATTTTTTAAATAAATAAATTTTTTTCTAAATAATAAATTTTTAAATAAATAAATTTTTTTTTAAATAAATAAATTTTTAAATAAATAAATTTTTTTTTAAATAAATAAATTTTTAAATAAATAAACTTTTTTTAAATAGTACCATATTTTCCCAGGAACAAGCAACCATTTTTTAACTAGAAAGTTACTTATTCCTGAAGGTTTTTTCAGGGCACTTGTGATTCTTTTAATAATGTTATTTTTTGTAAACAATGACGTTGATTTGGCGTTTAAGTTTTTAGAAGTTTCTCCTAATTGCGTATAGACGGCGGAATATAAGTCATCACATTTCTCAACTGCCAACCCTAGTCCAGCTATAAATTAAAAATTAATAAATTAGAATAAAATCATAAAATTTAAATAATAAATAAATGAACAAACAGATCAATTTCTTACCTCTAGCAACAAAAGCTGCTGATATACATAAATTAAAAATCGTTGAATCATGTGTTGTACTTGTTGAATTAATTTTTAAAAATGGACATTTATTTGATGTTGGATTGTTTTTATATTCATTGCTACCAATCGTTTTTCTTTTTGATTCAGCTGATTTGATAGTCTCCTTGTTGAATTTACTGTTTGCAAGTTGTTTACGCAATAGCTTCTCGATTTGACTTGCAGTTGGTCTTTTCTTGGGATCAGAATCCCAGCATTGTTTCATCAAATCAGCATAAAAATTTGGTGTATCGCTGGTTATATCTGGTCTTTTTCCTTCAACAATTTCAATTACAAGATCAATATTATGTGATCTATCATCAAATGGCTCCTTACCAGAAGTATAAACCCACATTATCATCCCAAAGCTATATACATCAGATTCTTTCGTATATGGTTTTCCAGATAATACCTCTGGTGCCAAGTATGGAATAACACCGTAAACTTTATTGTTATTGGAATTATTTTCTTTGACCGGCTCACATAATCCTAAATCTGCTATTTTGCTTTTCTTTTTCTTGCCTATCAAAATATTGCGGCTATGTAAGTCATGATGCACGAAATCTTTAGAATGTATTCTATTTAACCTGATGAAAAATAAAGATTATTTGTTAGTTTATCATAAAAAGTTTACAAAAATAATTTACAAAAAGTCAAAATTACCCTATCGAAATATTCAAAAGTGATTCTAATTTATCTTTCCAGGAAAAATTATTAAAATTTTTTGACAAATAATTATGTAAATCACCTCCATGTGCATATTTAAGTACTATCATATAAGTATTTTTCTTTTTATCTTTTGTAATTCCATAACATTCGTTAATAAAGTAGTTGTGAGTGTTGTAAATTTTTTTGTGTGCTTCTAGCTAATAATTTTTAATAATTTAATAATTAATATATTAAATTACTCAATAGATATTCTAAAATTCAAAGGTTTATTTACCTCTTTTAATATTAGTGGAATATCACTTTGTAAAGTGCAAATGCATTTTAACACTACTTTTTTATGATCATGTTTATTATACCAATCGGCAGCATGTATTATTCCGAACCCTCCTTCAGCTAATGGTTTAACATTATAAATTTCTTCATGTGAAATCCATTTAATCTTGATTCCATCCTTTCTACAATCATAAAGAAATTTTGCCAATTCTTTATCCCCGCATTGCTTCGTTAAATTTTTAATCATTGTTCCTTTACTGTAGCTGTTATTTTCACCTACTCGGTTTTTCATTGCAAGATTTATTGGTTTACTCAAAAAGAATTTTGTAAAATTTGTTTCATTGTAAGTTTATCACATATTTTACAACCCTTTTATGATATTACTTAATCATAATTACAAATAAAGAAATATAAATATTAACACATATAATAAATAATGTTTTTATGGTG